GCCGTTTCCGATTTTCTAGCGAACCGGCTTCTAGGTAGGAATGGTAGATTTCGATTGGTTGCAAAACGCAAAGAGAGGCGCCGACTTTGGGCGTAATGAAATGAGTTTCGTTGGTTCATTTTCGGATTTTCTAGCGGTCTTTTTGGTGAAAAGGGGGAAAGGGACGAAGAGTCGAGCGTGAATGTCGTCGCAAAGCAAAAAAAAGTTTTGACCTTCAAATTTAAGGGTTGTTCCTTTATAAACAAAAAAATACTCCGAGCGGGCGTTGATAAAATTTGCGTTGGGCTGTAAACGAAGTTAAATGGGTTTTTAAAAAATGGCGTGATAGTACTGCGAAGAAGAAGAGTAAACCATTTCAATCGCGGAGGGTGTACTTTAATTTGCCCTTGGAGTACCAGTCGAATGTGATGGCTTTGTGTGGACTTCACTTGAAGTACTCGAGGTGCATCTGTTTTATATTTGGGGATATTCACACGTAGACTTGAGCAACGGCAATAAAATTCTTTTTATGGCCGAAAAAACACTAATTTCGGAGAAAAATTCCTTTTTCCTTGTTTGCTACATATACCGAAATACTCACCGCCTTTTTAATATTTGGGGTAATACACTGCATTGTTAAAAATAGACCATGAAATGATCACTTTTACAGTTAACGTTATAATATTCAACCATTTAGTAAATTTTGGATTTTATTGTCGACCAGATTGAGACGTAATTTCCTGTGTGACTGGAATGAATTTAATCCCTTGGGACTAGGAAGGTAAGGCTATTTTATAATTGGGAGGATCGGTGCAATCCATATTTTAAAAATTGCAAAGCAATTAAACTAATTTAATGTAACTACCCGCTGCAACACTTGCCTCTTGACCCAGTGGCGTAGGATGCCTAAGAGCGCAACTTTTACTTTTCGTGAAGAACTATTGTTCCTTAGAAAGCGACATGTTTCAAAATTGATGTGAGATGTGACATCATATCAACCATTTTTTAGTATCTGCAGATCAAAGGAGCTTCAATGATTTTTTAAAACCCACTAGGAAAGTGGAACAAGTAACGAAAAATTAAAAGATGCGCTCTTATAAACGCCTGAAACCATCGGATAACTGTAGTTCTTGGGTGTACGATTAGATTTTTACTTTTGAAATAATGTTAACCTTTCACACAGAATATTATGCCTCCGACTCAAGCTCAAAGTTACAAATCTGTAGTTCAATTACCTCGAGGAAAGCGGACATTTTCTGAACACCTAAAAAATTATCTACTTGTCGCGCTTTTGCTTTAAAACATTTCACTGCAAATACGTATATGCTAAATTTAAAAAAACAAAATCCACGTTAGTTTACAATGTAATAGGTGGTCGCTTTCCCGTCTCAAAAATTACGTTTTGAATTTGTATTTTGTTAAACATGGGAAAATTTACACATATACCGCTACATAGCGAACATGAACAAAAGTATGTCTGGCGAAAACAAGCGATAACCACAACCGTATTAGGGAAAGCAAGCGCGGTTGCAACGCTTTTGTTCCATTTGGTGGCATAAGTGCAGGTTTACTATACCTTTAAAGTACGCTAGTCGAGGTTTTTGCGTTCAGAAAATTGGTCCTGTTTCAGAACTTCTACCGGGCGAGGTTTGCATAGGGAGAAAAGTGAGGTACGTTGAAATTGAATTCTCAGTGAAGTTACGAGCTCGGGCTCGTATCAAATTGGGGAGCGAGCACGTACAAATATTGATGTTGAAAAATAATTGTCGCAGTAGACATTTGTTTGCTGCGTTGTGAGAAATATTGTGCGATCAAAAATGAGTTGCTCTCGAGTCACCTTTGGAACTTTTGTTTACATGGGAAATCATACTTAAATTGAACTTTCAAAGGCGACTCGAAAGCAACTCATTTTTGATCGCCCGTTATCCTCGCGTTTGTGTGAAGATTCGTGGTGCGATTTCAAGAATCAGAACGGGCATTTATTGTGTGAAATGTCTCAGCATAGTAGTAAAAAATTTGCTAAATTTCGAGTACGTCATGGAGAAACATTTAAACAAATTCGGATTTGTGAACAATTGCGATTGCGGATCGCTAACAGTAATAAGCAAGTTGCTTAAAGTTGAGTGACGCCGAGTGGACAGCGTCAGCAATACATAAAATTTTGTATACCAGGGTGGCGCAAGAATTATGATATTTCTAAAAGAAGCGTCATTTTCCCAGAAAAGATAAGGGTATTTTGTTACCAGAAAAAATATTACCCATAAAGTAGTGGCCGGTTATTTTTAGGAATTTGCATAAAGAATTTTGTTCGAAGTAATTTTAATATTCCTAAAGGAATCGACCCGTGAAAACTACTTGCAGGAAACAGATTTGTATTTTATTCATTGATTAGAGTCGAATTCAAACAACGGATTTTGGGTATTTTGTTATTGATTGGAAAATTTCAGTGATACCATTCCTTTGGTTGCATTATAATTTTGTTTAGCATTCAATGGTGTCATGTGCGTATTTATTCGAGTTCAATTAAACCAGAGCATTAGATTTGGAATTTCAGGTTTTAAGAGGAGCCAAACTTCCGCAAGGTGAGGGGCATAAAAACATTCTTATTACTGAGCTAGCCCGCCGTGGGCAAATTAATAATAATAATAATAATAATAGTATTTTATTCCATAGACAAACTAGTTTATGTGGAAGTTGTCAACAAATATCTTAAAATTTTTAAATGACATTGAATATTATATAAGTAAAAAACAAATTACACATTAAATAGCGACAAACAAGTTACATTAACCAGTAAAATATTCACTTATATCATAGTGACATTTGTCAACTAGAAACAAAAATAATTTTTCTTTAAAGATTGATAATTGCCTACAATTACGTATTATGTGAGGTAAATTGTTATAGATCTTAATTCCCAGATTGGAGGGTGAATTGATTCCAATTTTTGTCTTAGTGAAATGTGGTCGAAGATTATCATTATATCATTATAAATGGTCATATTAAAATGTTCACTAGTGTGGTAGAGGTTCAATTTTATCTTATTCAAGTGGGGTTTTAGACGTTTCTAAATGTAACTAAGCCGTTACAACATCCCTTCCAATTAAACTTTTTTATTTCAAATTCATCACCACGTGTAAGATCAAATCGGGAAAGAAGTCATAATCTGTAGAAATCAAGTCAATCCACCTTTCACCTTTCAAATAAAATCACAAAAAAGTAGAAAATCAATTAAAAAAGTCCGTTATCGGGCTTTCGTTACAATTACTAATCTAAATACAACTTAGACATCCCTAACAACCTAATTGTAAGCACATTTGCGCTGGGTAAAGGACGTGATAGGTACTGATTTATTGCAAAATTACTTCTGTTTCGGACTCGTATTATCAAAGTTGTTAGTAACGCTAGTTACATCATTTTCAGAAGCTGTTTTTGGTTCAATATCAAATCAAGCCATTCTATTGTGCATGTCAGGGGTGTGTTTTTTAATTTATTTATTTGCTCGGTACGTGATTCTAGGTTAAAAATTAATATAAAATACATTCTAGGGTTACCGGATCATAGAGCCCTCGGGCCTTGTTAAAAAGTTTTGAAGTGGATGTGGATGTGCTACCATGAAACGCCTCCCTCCACCCTCCTTTCCATAAATCGACGTGTTTTTGCGATTTACAGCTCTGCCATTATGCCAAAATCGTGTCTTTTATTGTTGAAGATTTTTCATGAAAATAAACGTGAGTAATCAAACGAATCTGATATTATCGAAAATTTAATTGTTTATCAGACAAAAATTACCAGGTAATTTCGGATTTATTGTTGGGATATTCCATATTAGCCATGCATTGTTCTCCCTTTTTGTTATAATAGGTAGTAATTGCCCACAGACCGTGTTTTATGCCTGAATTATTGTAAACATCAGAGAAGATAGTTTAATAATTTATAAGAGACGGTATAGCGGAAAAGTAAATATGGTACAAGCTCCCTTGTAGTATTCCAGTGAATAAATCCATGCAAATCAGTTGTAACAAAAAAGCGCATACTTCGATGAAAAATATTCCAAGTATACTTCTCTGCTGTACTCTTTCTTTACCCATATTAGCAAGGCTTAGAAGACTGTATTGTGCACGGTTGCATCAGTTATTCAGATTTGGAATCTTTTGCAGAGAGGAAGGATTTTACCTGTTGCAATATAGCATTTCATATTGTTTACCCATCCTGTCAATGAGGCAATTTAATAAATAAGTAAAACTTTTTATATGTAGTTAGAACGCTTATACAAGCTAAAATGAATAAACATTTACTGTCTGTATGTTATTGATTTTTTAAAACAGTGCAACTTGACAATAGCTACATATTTTTACTTCCGAAGCGAGCGCACGTCAATATGTTTACATTATGTCCCTGCTACATATCCACATGAAGTTATGCACACAACTTTTCCATGCCAACTAAAGCGATTAATTACTGTATCAGGCACATATATCGAGCAATGAAAACAATTGAAAATCAAATCTGTTCAAAAACACTTGTTGAGTAATTGGCAACAGAACTCATTCTGCATCGGTTAATTGCTGATCCCAAGTTCATTTCTGTTCATTACGTTGGTATAGGGAAGTGGAATGGCCACATGGGATGCCTATGCTATTATGCACACCCACGCAAGATTTCGAATTTGAAATTCTATTGCATGCATAAAACAAGAGGATTTCGCATACTATCTTAACATAGTAGGTAATTCGAGACACAATTGATTCCGTTGGGAAAAATAAATCGTAATAGAACGGAGGAATTGGAACGAGTCTATTAACTCTAGGGTCGTATAAAATTAGGTGGAGTTGCTCCTATGTGAAGATGCATGACAAAGGATGTCTCAGCAAAGCACATTATCATTAAACTATTTGCAAGACCGATATGATGATGATGATAAACAACACTATTGATCGCTCATTATATCTACATACAGTGTACGTTAGGTACCTACAGCCTAAGTAATGATGTTTACATAACCAAGATAGATAACTTACCATTTCGTTTAAAATTCAAATGTCCATACAGCCTACTGAGGTCTATCGCCATAACGGCGTGTGGAATAGCCGCGTAGACGGCGACCACCACCGTGGCCAGCAGCAGCGGGTGCGGTGCCAACACCACGCGGACCATTGCTGGCGTCGCTGCACAACTCGTGATGGGAAGCGGTCGTCGACAGTGCTAACAACCACTCTCCCAGGACTATACTATTCGTATAGACTTCATTACGTCACAACGCAGCGTCAGTGCGTCCAAAATGGCTTTGCGCAACCAATTGCTCATCGATCAATATTCACATCCGCCTTTCATTAATTAGATACCTACTATTTGTTTTCTGGGAAATCATTTTGACCTTTTGTGCTGTAACTTTACACGTACTTTATTTGAGTCAAATTCCCGCGTAGGTACACACTCATGTAATATACTGTAAGTGGAGAAACCCTCATAGTAGGAGGACATGGGCGTCAGCAAAAGGTCCCTCGGGCATTTACATACGTCACGCGTGGGATCGCGATACTCTCACTCACACCGCCATATTAGAAATTAGGCACCTACAACCAAGAGAACATTGCACATCAATATGTTGCGTGTTACAACTTGTAATTCCTTACAAAAAAAGATCTTCTACGCCCACTGATTGCTTTACCGTGGATTGCGGGCTTAACAATAATTTAAGCGATGGGACGTCGTTGTCATCTCAATGATACCAGAATGAAGCGTCTCAAGTACTGAAAACCTACGGATACCTATATGCCATTAGAATATAATCAAATCTTGAAATAAGGCTCTATCCATCGTTTTATATGGGTAACGTTCAACAAATTAGAGACAAGCTGACATTTGGCAAAGTACTTTGTTATAAGGGTCTAAACTAAACACCCTCTGAAACCCCAGCGTCGAAGCGTTGAGCCCGTTAGCCTAAAACCACCCTCTAAGTGGGATAAAATCTACCTTTTTTGAAATTTGTCTTAATAACTTTAAACTTTTAAGAAAAAATGTTAAGGGGGAAAAATATGTAGGGAAGAAAATTTCCTATCATATATAAATACGTCAAAATTGTTAGATGTCCAGTGGCGCAAATTTCAGCAACTCATTCAACTACTTATATAAACACTATAAGTGCACTTTCCCAGGGGCGGACTGGCACGGGGGGGGGGGGGTGGCGATTGCCACCTAGCCTGTAGATCATAATGGCCCGTTGGAAATTTATAAGTATGTGCTGTATTTAGTTTCTTGCACTATTAATAAATTATTAACACGTTTCTCTAATTGGGGTTGATGTTAGGTTGTTAAAAAATTCTGTTTTAATTGAATGTTTTACAATGAATTTATCATTTTTTGTCGTAGTATTTTGAAAGTGCTGAAATACAATGATAGGCGACGCAACTCGTGTGGATTGTATATTTTGTTACTTTTAATTATCAGCTGCAATTTAAAAAAAAACTGTATGGTAATTGATTTTCGAGAAAGGAGTACTTTAAAATGTTTTTGTGGTGCACCTCAGAGCTACCCCCCCGGCACCTTCATTACTACACTAATACTTTAATGGCCCGTAAGTACCCAGTCCGCCCCTGTGTATAACCTTCCTTTTTTACCAAAATTCGACTACACCAAAATTTCTCGGGAAAACACTTTTTCTTATTAATTTGGGTGCGTAGAATCCAAATCAATTCGTACTTTTTCGATCAGACTTCTCAATCAAAAGTTATAGACTAGAAACCAATTTCGAAAAAAAATTCGAAGGGCTGTAACTTTAGAACTAGTAGCCCAATCTTGGAACTGTTTGAAATTATGGATTCTACAGGCCACATTCTATAAGAAAATTTTTTTTCCGGGTCGATCTGAGACAATTTTTTTTTCGGGGCTCAAAAAAAGGCAGTGTATAACCAGGGGCGCACTGGCCCGGGGGGGCGGGTGGCGATTGCCACCTGGCCTGTAGATCATAATGGCCCGTTGGAAATTTATAAGTATGTGCTGTATTTAGTTTCTTGCACTATTAATAAATTATTAACACGTTTCTCTAATTGGAGTTGATGTTAGGTTGTTAAAAAATTCTGTTTTAATTGAAGTGTTTTACAATGAATTTATCATTTTTTGTCGTAGCATGAAAGTGCTGAAATACAATGATAGGCGACGCACCTCGTGTGGATTGTATATTTTGTTACTTTTAATTATCAGGTGCAATTGAAAAAAAAAACGGTATGGTAATTTATTTTCGAGAAAGGAGTACTTTAATATGTTTTTGTGGTGCACCTCAGAGAAAATGAGTACTTTTGTGCATTGACAAATTTTAAATATGACGGAATGCGTTCTTTTGCACTCGCGCCGCATTTGGTTTAACATTATTAAAGCAATAAACCCAAGTTCAACATTCTTATCAATTTAAGTACCTCCATAAAAATTAAAGAAAAAGCGAGCTAAAAGAGCACCTAGACTAGATGAGCACAGTGAAATATGGTTACCGGAAACGTCGCACGCGTCTATCGTATGTTACTACATCTAACGGCGCAGGTGCTTCCTGTTGCATCAACGTAAGACGTCGAATGTTTCTTATTAGCAATTCAAGAAAATCTTAACTGTGCTACAACTACCACTACTAATAATAGAAAATATCAGACATCACGACGTACACGAACTACACTCGTTTCTTTTTCAACACCAATCAATGATGAAACTACCTACACCTTTGATTGCTTTACTGTTTCCTTGTTTTTTCTATTTCCCCAATTCCATAGTAATTAGATTAGTCTTTCGAAGTTGTGTGTTTATTTAACTCTAATTCATAATCGCCGATGAAGTAAGCGCTTTCAACCCTACTTCATTCCGCTAGTGTGGTGAAAACAATTGTCTGCGTTTTACAGAAAAGATTAACATTGATTATAGGTATGAAGGTAAGGTACCTGTCACATTTACTTAATTAAATACCATCAACTTCGGATTAGGATTTTAAGCGTATTAGGGGACGTGGTAATTTCAATAAAAACTCGTATTAGTTTTAATTTGGTGAGAAAGTATACATGCGGTCACCTGCACTAAAATGTACAGTTTTTCTACACTCATAATACTGAAAAACTTCTTTCCTTTTGAACCTATAGTCCTACTTTTTAATAATAATAATAATTATAAATCATCTTATTATTAATTCATGTAGGCGATTTTTATATCGCAACTTCGGAAGGAGTCTAAAATCTGACAAAGGAACCTTACTTGGTTTTACCTCTTTTAATTGAAAACTACTGCTTACAAGTTACAAGCACGTTTAATTTTTAAGCTTCAAGGGAAAATAGATAATATATCGTTTGGGTTGCGTAAGAAGTAATAGGAGGTACCTTTTGAATTGTATGCAGGCTAATTCTTCGTATCGAGAAATATTTCCTTCAATTACAGTAAATTAAATCCTTCGGTGATTAAGAACAATCAAGTCAAAGGACGTTGAGGCGGTTTTCGACATAAACGAATTAATATTAATTAATTGCGGTATTAAAAGGATAAAATAACCGTGCAAATATCGCGATACTCTCCGAAACAGCGCGCAGATTTATGAAAGCTCATCGACATCGCATGTCCATTCAATCTTTGACCTGATCGAATGCTGAGACTACTGAAGCGTAAATATAAAAACATTTAATCTATGCATCCAGTTGTCAACCTCCATTTTCTGTAAAGAACCGCACATACCAAAAAACGCTGACCTCGCCCTAGGGGAATTTTCCACTACACAGGAATCTCGACGCAATTTCCCAATAATACGAACTAAAAAGATATTGTGATATTTTGTTATCATTAAAAAAACTATAAATTATTACGGTAAATAACAAAGAAAAGTTATAGACTAAAAACCAATTTCGAAAAAAAATTCAAAGGGCTGTAACTTTTGAACTAGTAGCCCAATCTTAGAACTGTTTGAAATTATGGATTCTACAGGCCACATTCTATAAGAAAAATTTTTTCCGGGTCGATCTGAGACAATTTTTTTTTCGGGGCTCAAAAAAAGGCAGTGTATAACCTTCCTTTTTTACCAAAAATCGACTGCACCAAAATTTCTCGGGAAAACACTTTTTCTTATTAATTTTGGTGCGTAGAATCCAAAACAATTCGTACTTTTTCGATCAGACTTCTCAATCAAAAGTTATAGACTAGAAACCAATTTCGAAAAAAATTCAAAGGGCTGTAACTTTTGAACTAGTAGCCCAATCTTGGAACTGTTTGAAATTATGGATTCTACAGGCCACATTCTATAAGAAAATTTTTTTGCGGGTCGATCTGAGACAATTTTTTTTTCGGGGCTCAAAAAAAGGCAGTGTATAACCTTCCTTTTTTACCAAAAATCGACTACACCAAAATTTCGCGGGAAAACACTTTTTCTTATTAATTTGGGTGCGTAGAATCCAAATCAATTCGTACTTTTTCGATCAGACTTCTCAATCAAAAGTTATAGACTAGAAACCAATTTCGAAAAAAAATTCAAAGGGCTGTAACTTTTGAACTAGTAGCCCAATCTTGGAACTGTTTGAAATTATGGATTCTACAGGCCACATTCTATAAGAAAAAATGTTTTCCGGGTCGATCTGAGATAATTTTTTTTCGGGCCTCAAAAAAAGGTAGTGTATAACCTTCATTTTTTGCTAAAAATCTACTGCACTAAATTTCCCGGGAAAACACTTTTTCTTATTAATTTTGGTGCGTAGAATCCAAAACAATTCGTACTTTTTAGATCAGACTTCTCAATAAATAGTTATATACACGGTGTCCATTTTTCGAGGGCCACTATGGGGATCTCACTTATCTTAAGAGATAGAAAGTTGGTTAAATGGGGGCAAAGTTGCCAATTTTCGTGCTGAATAAGAATCTGAAAAGAAATTTGAAATATCTTCAATAGTTTTGAAGATATCGCAAAAAACGAAAATTTCTGATTTTCGTTTTTAATTTTTTTATGATAAACTAATCGTAGTAGACATTTCTAATTAACACATTATTCGGACACTTTTTAATGGAGGTTTCAAATATGGCATCCTGTTTTTAATAACTTTCAAGATGACGGAGAAACACGTGGCAACTTTAGTTTTTCTTATGGGCGCCATTTTGAATTTTCACATTTTGGGATTACGTTTTTTTTTCTCTTTACAACGATATATCACACATGGTGGTTCAGTATCACAAAAGTTTCGAAAGAAAATTCGTCGATCTCAGACAATTTTTTTTTCCGGCCTCAAAAAAAGGCAGTACTTTTAAGTTATTTAAATATTTGAGAACAATTTAGAGATGTTTAGGGAAAGTTTCCATTGTCACAATATCAAATATAAAAATCCGATACATCTGAATACCGAACTCGATAGTCTACGTAACTTAAAAACAATAGGGACCTTTCTTATATCCTTTAGACCATGTGTACCAGTTTTTAAAGCGATCGCAGGTTTCTAAACAAACTATCATGCACACGGACAAACGGATGGTCAAAAATGGATCTGTTCCA